TCTATTATTTAGAACTGTTCTTTTTTTTTTTTTTTTTTTTACAATCTTAATTAAAAATAGAGAACTCCTTTTCAAGGCCTTACTTCTACTGCCTTCAAAGTTATAACTTGACCCATTTAAGCATACTGTATACAAACATACATACATACATATGTATCTGTGGAGCTTGATTAAGGTTAGCATGTGATGTACTATATATATATATCTTTTAACCAAAGCAGGCATATTGCTGGCTCTGTCAGCTACATGTGAATTTGATCTTTTTTCGCTCTGATGAGTTACTTTTAATATATGGGACTGCTTATGAGATGAACATGGGATTACTTCATCAATTTCCTTCTAAGCTTCCCATGATCTCCTCAATAGCAAATGCTACACGTGACTGGCTAAGACTGGTTTTCTTCTCCACTAGATAAATTATATGCTTATTGCTTAGGCATGCATGACTCATACACTGGGAATTAAGCCTTTGGACTCAGTGTGGTCCAAGTCAAATTGGGCATGATTCAGTTCCGTTGGAATCATAAAGGGCAAACACTAGATCTTGATGAGGATGTTGAAAGCATCCAATCAGCGGCAAGGCAAAATCAAATTTTTTGGTTTGAAACCCTTCCTTCTCTTACATAATGCTTATATGGTAGGTGAGTACTTTTTTTTATAGCTTAAATTACATTAGATTATAAAAAAAGAACTACTGAATGAAAAGACTATTGATTGGAAGAGAATGCCTCATATTTGAGATCCCTCCCCCTATCAATGGTTAAAGTTGCACAGTTTATATTAGATTAGATTGCATAGTCTGCATCAAATTAAATTGCATAATACTTTTCTAAAATGAAAATATTATAATTATAATATCATATGATATTATAAATTCATAAAATGATATATCATTATATAGTTAGGTTTTTTTGTTCATGAATCTATTAGTGATATTATATATATTTATTTATATAATACCATATCATATTTTATTTAATCTTACGTCACATGGTATCATAATTACAATATTATCATTTTTTAGGTTTAAATTTCCATGAAAAAAAATTTAAAAAGAAAATCTGAATCTCGTTAGGTGTAGGCCTACAATGGCCCCAAAATCTACCCATTGGACAAGTTTTTGCTTTTCAGACCGACCCAGAATTAGTTTTTCCGTGTTCTGCCGGAACTCAAAAGCCCAACGTAAATAAATGGTTAAATCCTAAATTTGGTCCATCAACTTTAAAAAATGCACATTTTTGATCCTTCTACAATTTTTTGTACTTTTTTGATCCTTCAACTCTAACAAATGCACACTGTTAGTCCTTCTGTCAATTTAGACCGTTAATTCTGCCATGTGGCATTTTTTATATTTTTTTGATGACATGGCGAAAACAACATTAAAAATTGCTAATTTGGAATTTTTTTTGATGACATGTAATGCCAACTCAGAAACTAAATTTGTTTAGGATTTATATTTTTAATAAAAAATAAAAAAGTTCGACCCATCTTCTTCCTTTCTTTTTTTTTTTTCTTCTTTCTTCCTCTTCTTCCTCTGTTGCTAGGTCCCTTGAACCTAGATGGCTAGGTTCAAGGGAACCCAGCAAATCCAAGTTCCACCGAATCCAGTTGCTGGGTTCCTCAAACCTAGATCTATTGGGTTCGGTGGAACCTAAGTTGGGTTCCGTCGAACCCAACAACTGGGTTCGATAAACCCAGCTCCACCTTTTTTTTTTGTTATATGTTTGTTTGAAGAGATTTTTATGTAAATTGCAGGTTGTGAGGGATTTTTGAGATCCTTTTCTTCATATTTCTTAAATATCATCTAAATGATTTCAATGTTCAAAATGGAAAGAACATTGCCGGCAATGGAAAGAATAGAAGTAGTGACTAATGGGTAAAGAAGCAATTTTTAGTGGGTTTTCATTTGTTTGGCTAGAAGGGTGTTTAGATGCTGAGAAAATATTTTCTATTTGAACATGGCAAAACGTTTTGTTTATGTCATCACTTTTTTTAAATTTTGTACTTCACATTATCAAAAAAAAATATAAAAAATGCCACATGTGTAGAGTTAACGGTCCAAATTAATAGAAGGACTAACGGTGTGCATTTGTTAGAGTTGAGGGATCAAAAAAGTGCAAAAAATTATTAAGGGATAAAAAATGTGCATTTCTTAAAGTTGAGGGACCAAATTTAGCATTTAACCTAAATAAATACCAAAAACACACATAAAGGTCCTTACCCTTTTTAACGCCTAACATTCAAGTCCAAAAGTCCCTCCCTCCTCTCAACAGACTTCCGTCTCTCTTGTTCTTTCAAGGTTCCCCGTCTTCAGATCAACGATACCTCTCTGATTCTCCTAAAAATCCCAACTTTCTCCAAACCCATATCCCCTTTACTTCCCTTTTGCAGTGCATTTCGTGGGAATCTCATCTCCAGCTTCTCTGAATCTTCGGCGCCAGTTCTCTTTAGGGTTTTGGTTCTGTCTCTGCAACAAAGGGAAAACCTTTCTCGTTGTTTCTTGGTATGGAATATCAAGTTTCCGATAGTAGTGGTATGTTGTATAATTTGTACTGTGTTCTTGAATATGAAACGTGTGTGTTCGTATGGTTTCTGGGTTTGATTCATTTCTTATAATTGGGTTTGGGGTTTTGGATTTTGAAGATATTGGGAATATGGGGTAATCTGTGCGTCTGTTATTGAGTTGGGGTTTTGGGGTGTGGGAGGAAATTAGGGTTTAGGGTTTATTTGAGTGATGGAGTTGAGTTGGATTTTTGTTACGGGTGATTCCTTTGTTTACATTAGTTGGTCTTATTATTTGGATTTTGATTTCTGGGATGTGGGAGAGTTTTGGGTTTTCCATGGAATTAGATTTCTTCAATTGTGTGACTATGCTTCTGCAGAGTTTAGTTATATTTCATTAGAGGAATTGAAGGTATATCTGCTGAGGACTCGAGGTGCACTCATCTTTATAGGTTGAGCTGTTGAGGACTCCCATAGCAGTATAGGATTTTGGGGTTGACATTCTTGTGTGGTCAAACCATATTTTATTTCTTCTGCTTGACTTTGTTTTGAGACGTAAAAAACTTAACTAAACTTAGGTCCTTATTTCATACATATTTTTACTTAAGTTATTCTATAAGTAATATGAAGACCTGAAAATCAATGGAGCACAGGGGATTTTTGGTTGTTCTCATGACGGAATCTGGATACACCTTTCTCAGATATATTATACTGTGATATTTTATGTGGACGTGTCTGAGCTTCCTGTAGATTCTTCTGATTTGTCTTGCTCCAAAAAATGCTTCTTTTATTGTGGAAATAGTAGTACACTTGCCAGAGAGAGCATTGCAAGAGCAGTTGATATTCTTGTGTCCTTTACCTCATAATCATTTCTTCTTTATCTCAAATAATTGCAGGTACTGATGATGATGTCCCTCCATCACATCAAAATATAATTCCACGAGGGGGCTATGTTTCTGGTAATGGAAGATCTGTTTTAAGTTCTGCCCCATACTTTAGGGTGCAAGCTGGAATGGAGGCCCAAATACATCAACTTGAACAAGAAGCTTACTGTGCTGTCCTGCGTGCTTTTAAAGCTCAGTCTGATGCCATTACATGGGTATTTAGTCTGCTCCATTGACATGTCTTTTTATACTCCTCTCGGTATTTCCCTGCAATCATCTGGTTTTAAAGCCTTTATTTCCCAAATTTCAGGAGAAGGAAGGTTTAATAACAGAACTTAGGAAAGAGCTACGAGTGTCAGATGATGAACACAGAGAACTTCTGACCAAAGTTAATGCTGATGATATCATCCGAAGGATAAGGTTCTGATGCTTAGTGGATTGGTCTCACATTCTCACTAATTGTAACCTACCACTGATCAGGTCTTTTCTTGCTTCTGGCTTTAACATTTTACATTTTGGGTGATGATATCAGGGACTGGAGACAGGGAGGTGGCAATCAAGCTGCCAGGCTAAATGCAACTCAGTCTGTTCATGATCTTCTACCCAGTCCTAGTGTTTCAGCATCCCGCAAGAAACAAAAGACTTCACAATCGGTACCTTCTTTAATTATCAGTTTGCAATGACATGATTTAGGGCATTATAAGTACTTTGATGCATACAGCTATTATCTTTGTCTGCAGAACACTTACTTCTTTAGGATTTTATGCAAGAAGCCTGTTGTTGTTTATGGTTTATATAAGAGTAGCAAGAGAAGATTCTACAATGATCAACATTTGACAACTTGTTTTCACTAACATCTTTTCTTAACAGGTTCAGTCATTGCCTGGCTTATCCTCGGCAAAGTCCATGCATTACCCTTCTGGAGTTTCTGCAGGAAATAGGCAGTTCAATAACCGCAGTTCCCTATCAGCAAATGAACCTGCAGATGCAGCTACTTTTCACCCCTTAGTTGGAAAGAAAGTGTGGACAAGATGGCCTGAAGACAACAACTTCTATGAGGCTGTCATCACTGATTACAACCCTATTGAGGTATGTAAAAGGTTTATAAAGTCTTTCTTTGAGACTTATCATAGGGAAGATCCTCAGGAGATGTTGGAATACTTTATTGTAACTTGAGAGCACCTTGGAAGCTTTTGATTGATGAGATAAGGATCAGTCAAATGTACACCTGTGGACACATTTATTCCTTGCTTGTGAGGAAGATGCCTTCTATAACTTTTTCTTTTCCTTAAAGTTATCTTTCATGCTTATTTGTATGTTGGCCAAAAAGAAAAGCTTATTTGTATGCACTTTGCTAAATCTTATCTATAGTGCTATACTATCAATCAGAGAGAAGAAGCAATTTATTCTGCTTTAAGTCAAGCTAGAATGCCCCAGGAAGTTCTCATGGCTTTTAATAAAATATTTATGGTGTCAGTTTGTTCATCCCTTTGACTCCTCCCAAGTTCATTTCTGTCTTTGTATCTTTTCATTTGTTATATTAATAATTCATGCATTGATTGCTTAAAAGGTTCACAATTTATGCTGTGAGGTGTTTAAACCTTGATTGGCAGTTGTTAATGCTTTCTGTTTTGGTTTTTGGTGGACTAGTCATCCATATTATGCCTTTTCGTATTCTTTTTCTTTTTGAATACAGGGCCGGCATGCTCTGGTTTACGATATAAATACTCCAAATGAAACCTGGGAATGGGTTGATCTGAAAGAGGCAAGTGGCTATTATTTCCCCATACTGCTTAGACATGTTTGTTAGAGTTCACCCATACCCTGTAGCATACCCTTTCAAATAAGCTAGACCTTGGATGAGTCAAGGTGGCTGGAATTGGAAGGAATTTTAGGAAGTGTACTCTGTGTCAACTATAATTTAATATTTCTTCTTTAAATGGTGCAGCACTGTCTACATAAAGAGACAGGGTAGCTTAATAGTTTTACAAGAATGCCTTTCCACTGTAGTGAATACTCTGTTTATATTTTAATTGGAGTATGTGAATAACTAAAATTGTCTTTTTCTTTTCGTAATATATGTTTGCTTTGAACAAGCCTATATAGAAAGATGGCCATTGATTGCATAGGAAGGATGATGATCTTAAAGAGAATAGTTCTGACATCTCTTCTGATTGCAGATTCCACCAGAGGACATCCGATGGGATGGTGAGGATCCAAGCATACCCTATCGAGGGGGCCATGGTGGCCGTGGAGTTAAGAAAACATACAGTCATGGTACTCCTGCTCCTGGTGCTGGAAGAGGGCGAGGATCTGCCAAGGGTCAATTCAGAAAAGAGTATATACCATCCCAGAATGGTGTTGCAAAGAAAGCTTCTGAGGATATTGAATTACTTGACACAGAGACACTGGTGAAGGAGGTATTTATGGGAGGACTTGAATGGAGTTGTAATGTTCAATTTTAGCCAGTTCGTAAATTTAAGTTCATTTAAAATCTGTATCTTTGTTTAATAGGTGGAGAAGGTTTTTGATGCAAGTCATCCGGATCCTGTGGAGCTTGAAAAGGCAAAGAAGAAGCTGAAAGTAAGACTGTTGATTCATGCTGCCTAAATTTCCTTCTTTTCATCACTTGTTGCGTGCTTAACCATAGTGTCTAATGCAGGAACATGAGCAGGCACTCATTGATGCGCTTGCAAGGCTTGCTGATGCATCGGATGGTGAAAGTGGTAATAAATACATGTGTATATAGCAATCCCTTCACATTTATATTGTTTATGGCATCTTGAGCAAGCCTAGCGTTGTAAATGACTAATTGAACGTTCTTTGACTTGGGAAAAGACAAGCAGGCATAGATTTTGTCTTCTAAATAAAATGTCCTTTTGCTGTGCCCTAATAATTTGGTACTTTGTTGTAATGGTTGAAATGGGGAATCCATTATGTCTAACATGAGAACTTTTTGCAATGTCCAAGTGAAGAAAAAGCATGCTGTAGAAATAATTTCACTGCAGGTATTTTGGAAGTATGGAATATATGGCATATAGTTCAGTTGTAAATGACAAAGTCATACCATTTGAGTGGATGTAAGATACTTGATCTTATGGGTGTGAAAATAGTAAATTAACCTTGTTTGTGGTTATGTAAAATTTAGAAACTAATTTTATTTTCTCCGTATCAGATGGAGAGCAGCCATTCTCGCATGCACAATAAAATGGACTATAAGGATGGAGTCAAGTTATGGCATTCAGCCATTCGATTACCAACTTCAAGGCTTTGTGATGAGTTGCAATGGTGATGAGTTGCAATGGTATTAAAAGTTTGTTGTCCAATGCAGCAAACTGCAAGAGAGAAATCAGATTGACAGCATGCTATGTTACTGACTGTACTTTCATATTTTCATTTTCATTTTCTGCTTCGCGAGGCCATGTTGGACACAAGTGCCACATTCCGATACCTGTGTTTTGTGTTTGGAAACAAATGCACAAAGGAAATCTGTTCCTCATGGTCTTTCAAGATGGTGTAAAATTCTGTAAAGATTTTGTTTTTGGCATAAAGATGGCTGCAGGCTGTTATTTTGCTTGTGAAATCCTTGTATTTGCATTCAATCTAGCCTTCTGTGATTTCTTTCCACCAAACACTAAATCCTGCAAGCCAATGGCAGAGGTTAATCATCTTTTATTAGTGGAAGAAAGAATAGAAGATGAGAATGGATCAGTTACATTCAAGTTATGTATTTGCAGCTTTGATAATCAGAAACCAGATTAAAATCAAGTGTTCTAGTTGGCGGCTGGACTGCCAGTTCCTCATTGATGGCACGGAAAAACTTGAATGCCCTGAGGAGCCCACATCATAACTGAGGCGATGAAGAACAGTTAAAGCCATAAGGTTTTTGGCCAGCAACAAAATTGTGATATGTTGAAGTTATAAGAAATCTCAACCAAGCCAAACATGATGTTAGTTTCAAAGCCTCCATTTCCATGTACCTCAAGAAATCATCGCATTTATTAGCAAATTTGTGAACTAAAATGCCTCACGCAACAATAAGACACGGAAACCAGATACTGGAATGCATGGAAATGATGATGCCACCAAGAACAATCCTATTGGTAATCAAGGATGACTACGCTTCCAGGAGATACTCAAATCAACTCTCTTCCAGTCATATGAATACTTCAGATTTCTACGTTCTACATATACTAGGACAGAGCTGCGACTCTAACCACTTAAGGAAAATTATATCAACATACAGAGGTCGTTTCTTACCTGTGATACAAGCAGCAAAGATTGAAGCTCCGCTCCTTCTATATGACCATTGACCTCATGGGTGATGGAAGAGAGAATTTCGTACAGGCTGTACTTAGATTTGGAGATAGCTGTGATGACTTCCTTGCTGGTTTAGGGCAGAGTACAGCTCCTGGTACAATGTTTTTGGCTAACCCCAGCCTGGAATTGTGTTCCTCACCATAAGCTGATGCTGCAGGAATAATCTTCCATAGACAGTGAAAAGGGTGTGATCCCTTCCACTTGATTTATCACCCAAAATCAGAGACGTATGTTTGGTTCATTAAATCATTACATTACTATTTATCTTTCTTTATAAAGTAAAAAAAGGAAAATTATAACAATAAGAATATAGGGAGACTAGAGCGATTAGCTATAACAATCTTATTCAACATATTAAAGAAACTAATTATAATTTGCTAACTGATTCCACCATCACCCTATTTCACTTCAGTTTCATGTAATAGCAATCCCATGAATTAAACTTGACTTGAGGATTCACCACTGAACTAGCTGCAGCAACTATCAGATTAAAAAGAGGAAGCAACAAAGAACTGGAATTCAAATCTGCAACAACCAGCATGAAGCCTTGAAATCAATATCTCATCCTTGAAAATCTACATGATCAACCTTGAGTTTCTTGGTAGATTTCATAATTGAATCAAACCATCAAAAATCATCACATGTACACAGAATCTGATTCTCTTAGGAAGCTAGAACAAATAATGATGAACAGCACTTAAAAGCTTCAAAACCATAGTCTAAAGTCCCAAAATCAGGGATCAACCATGAAAATACCAAAAACAGCTCTTAAGCTTCAAGATACAAACAACTATCATGAAACAAAACCAGGCAAGAACAATTGCAGACACAATCAAAGGAATAAATTTTTAAACAAGTAAATGAACACTTAAAGAGCATCAAATCCATAATCGAAGAACCCCAAGAACACCCAGAATCTCTAATTAAGCAATGAAGATTATCTATTAAAAAAATAAAAAGAACAAAAAGTCTTCGAAGCATCAAGGTGCAAAGAAGAAAAAACTATCATCAATATAGAAACAGGTAAGAACCATTGGAAACGCAATCAAAAGAATAACTTTTTAAATGACTCAATAAAAACAATCAAATCAGGGATGAAAATAAATCTAACCTGCAAAACCCAACAAGAGAATGAGATAGAACACTCAAAAACGAAAACCCATCTGCGGAAAGTGAGAATTTCTCGAATTTGAATGAGATCTGCTTATTCCAGTCATGTTAAAGGTGATTGCTTCAAGTATGAAGCCTTTGGATGATAAAATCACAGACCATCCATCCCCTTTCAGGATATCACGTTGTTACAGCAAAGATGCAATTGAAAATTGGGTTTTTTTATTTGCCATTGAAGATGGCTGTATTAGAAAGGAATGATCTTTGGAGAAAAGGCTCCAGAAAATTGAGGATGTCGGGAGAGAAACACCCACCAGACTCCGTAGCTTTGATGATGAGTTCTTGATGATGATAAAATATTTTTTTATTAGGCTCAACAGTCTTCGCTTAGCCTAATTAGTTTCGTATGATTTTCGCATGGTATCTTAGGGGGTATAAGTTTGTTATTTTCTAAATTATGCAAATAATTTGGTAATTTTCTTTTATAATAAAAGTAAGTAGAAGGTTCAGAGACATATATCATCTAGATGAAATAAAATAAGAAATAAAAGAATTACTTCATCAAATTACCAGTAGTATTATTTTTTATATACTAATAGACTATATAAAAAAATTAATCCTCTATTTTCTACATCCCTCTTCAGCATTTTTATCCTTCTTAAATTTTTTTTTTGAACATTATCCTTCTTAAATTTAAAAATTTTTTTTTTGAACATTATCCTTCTTAAATTTTAAATTTGAGATATGTGACATAAAAATCAAACTCCTGTTCTCACGTGACTATTACTCATAAGATTCAGGTGCATTTAGAATTGTAGTTGGAAGCTTTTTCGTATAATCACATAATATTTTTAGATATATATGTGTTTGATAATTTTTTTTAAATTATTTTTTTTAAGTTATAGAAAGTTATAATAGATTTACAATAATTTTATATATAACGTCAAAAGTTTCATTTTGAAGCTTTCTGGCAGTGGCTTTTACAGAAAATACATAATATTTAATATAATTATAAAATTACCCATTAAAATTCAATTTCATGTAATTTAATTACATCATAATTTATAATATTTTAATAATTAAAAAAATTTAAAAAACCTAAATTATTAACAAATAATAAATATTATATATTTTAATAATTATATATCTTACAATATTTTTTAAATTTTAATTAATAATTAATAAAATCTATCATATTTTATTTATAATACTTTTAAAAAATAAATAACCAAGCACCAAAATAACTTTCAGCCACAATTACAATACAGTACAACCATAGCTAAGTATAATATAGTCACAGTTAAGTACAGCAACAGCACTTCACAGCAATCCTAAACGCACCCTCTATTTCATTTGTTATTGAATGTTTGGGACAATTTTTCATTTCATATGAAAATTCTTATATTTTCAATATATTAGTGTTTATCATTTGAATTTGTAAAAAAATTTTAATAGAAAATATTTAAAATTATGTTATTTTAATAAAATATTACAATAAAAAAAGTAAAGTAATCTTATTTTTGCTTTAAAAACTAAAGTATTTTAATCTTTTTTAATAAGATTTTACAGATGGTGCCTCATCCTTTTTAAGTGCTATTAATGATGTTCTTACTTAGTTTTATCAACTATGTTGTTTGAAGGTTAACCATTTCAAATTATCAATCTTTTGTTGTGGCATATCTGGTGAGGAAATTAGAAAATTAATGACAGACGATGGGTTCAAGGCTGGTGTCAGGTTGAGCGGTTATGTGCTACATTTTTATGACAAAACTAAATTGAGTTTGCAAGAGGGGCTAAAGTAAATTGGCTATCATTATGTCACCCTAAGCAAGAGGGTGGTTTGGGTTTAAGGAGTCTAATGCATTGGAATATAGCATGTATTATGAGATTTATCTAGATGCTCTTTATAAAAGCTGGATCGATTTGGGTGGCCTGGGTCTATGAATATCAATTGAAGGGCCAAAGTCTTTGGTCTATAAAAGTTCCTTTTGATGCGTCATGGGGTTAGCGGACGCTCCTAAATCTTAGCAAGTAAGCTAGAAATCTTATTCAACACATTTCAGGTGATGGGAAGGAAATATATTTGTGGCATGATAACTGGCACCCTTCAAGGCCTTTAGTTGAAACTTTTGGTGCAAAAGTTGTCCAAGATTTTGGGTTTTCTTCCCAAGCCAAGCTGAAGGTTGTGGTTAATGGAAAATTTTGGAAATAGCCACCGGTTCACTCAACTCAATTGATAGACATTCGACTTGCTTTATGTGACAAACTATATCCTAAGGAAGGGGAAAAAGATATTGTTATATGGATCCTTTCAGCTTCAAGCACATACAAGGCAGGGAGAACATGGCATTGGATCAGAAGCAAGTAGTCTAAGGTTCCTTAGCACAGGCTGGTTTGGTTCTCTCAACAAATATTGAAACATAGCTTTATTAGTTGGCTAGTTGTGTTGGATAGATTAACAACCAAAGCAAAGGCAGAAGAAATGGTCTCCTAACATAAATGACACCTCTGTCCTATGTAACAATGGATTGAAAACTATTGAGCATATCTTTTTTAAGTGTAGCAATGCAAATTGTGTGTGGAAGAGTTTGAGTGCTATGTCTGAAATTCCTTATTTAAATTTTGGGCAATAGCTTGTGTTATGGATGGGGAAACGAATAAGAAGAAAGTCTTTGTACTAGACATTCATCAAGTTAATGTGGAATGTTGTAGTTTGCCATGTTTGGATGGAAAGAAATATGGGAATCCACCACCATGTCGATAAGACAACAGTTGTAGTGTGTGATGACATTTGTTTTGATGTGAGACACAAAATTTTGGAAAGTGTTAGGCCTTTTCCCTCTATTTTAATTGCATCAGTTGCTTTAAAATGGGGTTTTTGAGACTGTTATATAAAGCTGAGTCTTTCTCATTGTAGCAGTAACAAGTTGTTGAATTTTTTATACAGATAGTTTCAAGAATACATACAATTTTCACATTTTATCCCAAAAAAGATTTTATTAAAATGATGCAATTTTAAAGTATTTTATTCCTAAATTTTTAGGGTTACTATTGATAAACATTTTGCTCATATTTTAAATCCTATCAAGAAAGTATTTTGATATTTTAAAAATTGAACATATTTGGTTTAAATAGAAATAGAAACTATGATGTTTGGAAATTTATTTGGGAAGGAATTTTTATATTTGAAATTCACAAAAATTTATATTTAGAATAAGTATAGAATTCCCATAAAAAAAAAAGAATTAAGTATAGAATTTGGGAGATAATTGGTGCATAATTTGACATATATATTTTTTTTTGTACTTGTTTAGTTTAATTATTAAAAATATAATATAAATATAATTAATTCAATCAATTCTTATATTTTATATCTATAATTATATTTTTAAGTTGTTTTTAATTTTATATTAAAAATAATAATTTTTTAATAAATATATTATGGATATAAAATCAAAATGTGTACTAATTAATAAGAATAGAATTTTGTAGTTAAATAAATTAAAATTAAATGTTGTCTTATACAACAAGGTTTTGAAAAACAAGTTGAATATCTTTTTAAAATTTATTAAAGAATTTATTTCTTATTAATAAAAAATTTAAAAATTTAAAAAGAATTATTAAATACTTATTCAAAATTAATTAAAAAATTTTATTAATTTTTATTTAAGTCTTTAACCTCTTTTACAATATAATATATTGTAAAATTTTGAAAAATCATAATCGGAGAGAGGGAAACTGAGGTCTCTAAGTCTAAGGACCTTTGGCTTCCCCCACACGCTATCACCCTTCTTTCTTTTTCCCTATTTAATTTCGATTAAATCATATTTAGGTTTTCAGAATCCATTCAGTACGGTCCTCCTCTATACTTCCCTTTTTGTTTCCCTAGAAAATCCCCAAGAAACTTCTTTTCTTTCTCTCCGGCGAAAACCCAGTAAGAGAAAACCCATGGTTCGACCCGTTAAGCGCGAAGTCCTTTACATTAGTAGTGATAGTGAAGACTCTGAGGCTGAAGTTGGCGGCTTCGATGATCCAGTCGCCGCCGATTGCAGAAGTCTTCGCTCTCGATATCTCGCTGTCAGAACTCTCATAAGTGGTATTCCCGTTTACCCATCTGTTTACTTTCATGAAAATTGGCGGGACAATGAATAATATATAGATAAGTGGTATTGTCTATTTTTATCTTATTTATTGGTTGTGCAGATGAAAAGGATGACATTACCAAGGTTGATTCTGATAAGTTCAAGGTGATATTTGATCAAGTAGAGAGCTTGCATCAGAAAGGTATTGAATTTATTTTGTTGCTCTTAGTTGTGTGTTCTTTGAATGGAACATTTGTGCTTTATGGGTTTCAAAAAGAGTCTTTCAACATTCTGGGATCAAGGTCAAGGGGCAGAATATAAAAAAGGGTCTTTTAGGATGCTTTTGTTAGTGTTGGTCAAGAGGGACATAATGATAATGAAGGTGAATGTGTAGTTGTGGCACTGTCAGGAGTGATGATTTCTAGTGAGTGGATGAGTAGAGGCAGGCAAGAAATGTTGTTTTTAAACCTTTTAGTGTTGCCGGCTTGCCCATGATTTTATATTGAAAATTCAAAGATTTTGGTATTCCTTTTAGATGTGGGTGGTTATGAACATCTTTTTGTACACATCTAGAGATGCATCATCATCATCATGTATCATTCATTTTTCATATATATGATCTTTTATTTAACATTTAACTTCTGAATGTTGGTTTGCAAGTTAATTTGAATTTTGTTTTATGACATATTCCTCTTTTATGTAAATATCAGTTCAGAAACCAAGGGAACAAGTTGCTGATGCAGAGGCTCTTTTGGGCATTACCAACTCCCTGTTTATTTCTGTCAAAGCGCAAAATACCGCAGGAATTTCCATTGCTGATTTTGTCAGCAGTCTCCTTAGGAACTTTGGAAGGGCACGTGGTCGAAGTAGTAGTAGGGAGGAATACAGGAACTCCATAGCATGGAAGGAGATTGGATGTGCGGTCTCACAGGCTTTTAGAAGCTCTCCAGGATGCTGCACCATGTAATGGCAATAACACTATATGTTTTATCTATACTTGCTTTCAAATATTTAATGTTCATAGGTTTTCCTGGTTCAGGATTGGGCCTATGAATGATGAACCAAAGAAAAAGAGGGCTGTTGTTCGTAGAAAACGTGTGAAACCCACAGAAAGAGCTGTGCCTAAGGAGGTAAGAAGCTTAATCAAAGCTACTGCATCTCTTTCTAAAAATAGAATTCGTGGAAAGATTTGTTACTGAAGATGATTGATGGTAGATAATTGATTCATCATCTATCTGATATCATCCATGTAAAATGTTTAGGCTTGCCTGACGTGTTGCATATCTTGTTATTTTATTCATTTTCATGATTAATGATTTGAAACCTAAAATGCTAACACTACTATCTTCTGCTTATGAATACATTTATGTTTGAGCATTTTCCTTGACTTGGTTAACCTTGTGCAGCTTGGTGATGCTCTTACTGAGAAGAAAACAGATACTGACAAGAACATGGCAGTTATGTTTGACATTCTGAAGAAGAATAGAAGTGTCAGGATTGAAAATTTAGTATTGAATCCGGATTCCTTTGCACAAACAGTCGAAAACTTATTTGCACTATCATTTCTGGTTAAAGACGGGCGTGTTGAAATAAAAGTGGATGACAATGGCTGCCGTCTAGTTTGTAAGAACCATTGCCTCATCCTGCTTTCAATCTTGAGATATTTCTTCAATTCATTTTAGCCTTGTTCTACCTTTTGTTTGTTTCATGCCAGCACCAAGAAATGCTCCTGCTGCATCTTCAGTTATCTCAAAAGAAGTTGCTTACAGCCAGTTTGTTTTCAGACTTGATTACAACGACTGGAAGGTACGTCATATGGAAAAAGAAATTACACAGTTTATGCATTTTTTGTCTGGGACAAGTGATCATTTTCCCCAGATTGCATAGTTTTCTTGATGGATTGGCCACCTTTTTTCTACACACTTGGTCGTTTGGTATAAAACATTGTATTATCTAATGACATTTTTCTCTCATCTAAATGCCCTAAACCTATGTTCATGTGTTTCAAGATGATGAAAAGTTTTGTCAAGGTTGGAGAGGAGCTGATGCCACGGAGGAATCAAGACGTACCAGGTGGTTGCTACTCTGATCCTCCCTTGGGAGAACCTGAGACAGCAGGAGCTACAACTCCAATCAGAAAGTTGTCCAGAAACCGAGGCTTGGTTTTACAAGATGAGCCGGTTGTAGAAGACTCAACAGAGAGGGACAACAAGGTACAAAGAGCAGCTGCCATTCAGAAAGGGAAGCGGAAACTAACGATTTAGTGCAGGTGCCAGTTTCATTTTTGGCAAGGATGGCATTGGAACATAGTGTGCAGATACAAGTCTTTTGTAGTAATTTTTAGGATTTGGTTTTTATTGGTATTTGCAATTATGGTGTTTTTAGACTAACTTTCATGCCCTAATCACATTAGTCTAATGTATTTAAGAAAATTAATTTATTTAGTCTATGTACAGTAATTTTTGGGATTTACCCTAACCATTGTTATGGTTTTTATTAAATAAGTATAACTTATTATTAAATAAGTAAATAAAATAATATTATAAATAAACTCTTAATCGAAAACAGTTAATTATATAATTTTATATTTATAATATGAGATTAAAAAAAAAAGTCTTAGCTCTTAAAATGTTTAATATAATAATAAAATGATAAAAATATTTTAAATAAATTAACATATAAAAAAATACTTAAAAATAGTTAAATAATTTTATAAAAGTTTGTGTTTGAAGTTTTTTTTATATTAGTTGTACAATAAAAAATAATTATCTTTAATTTATTATTTCATATCATCAATATATTATATATGTCGAATTTAAAAGCTTTTATTTTTAATAAAAAAATATTATTAAATTATTTAAATCATTAATTTTGTTTAAAATATCAAAACGTTTTAATTTTTATTTTAATCTCACAATGACGTGATGGCGTAAGTACAACACCTTTTTCGGAGTTTGCCTCACTTAGGCCCAGCCCAAAATATGAATCCATATTTGTGTTGATTCTCTACTGGCGACAGCATACCTTCAACCCAATCCAACTGGATCACGTGACGTGACATCATCGGTGACGGAATCCAGCCGAAAGGTTAAATCTTTAAAACCCCCAATTATAAAATCCACAAAATAATTACCCAATTAATGTTATCTTTCTCCGGCGAACTCGTAAGCTTCTTCTTCTCCAACCTCAGCTCCTAAACCCCTGAAACTAGGGTTAGGGTTTTTCCTGCTCTTTCTCACTCTTTCCTTTTTGTTCCTCTCCAGCTGGAATTCTTCAAATTCTTTGATTTTCTGATTCGTGTTTATTATTTCGATTCGTTTGTTTTTGGATCTGGATCTGTGAGATATAGAGATAGAGATATAGGAAAAGAAAAACAAAAAATTCATGGATGCTCGCAAGAGAGGTAGGCATGAAGCTGGCTTCAACGCTAATGGCGGTGTCAAGAAGTCCAAGCAAGGTTCGTTCTTTTTCCCTCTTTCCTTCCCTTTTCGTTACTTAAAAGTTCCTTCCTTGTATACCCGAGACTGGGTTTTAGCTGTTTTTAGCTGGGTGTTGCTGGTTTAAGCTCTTGGGTTCTCAAAACAATGAGAAAGTGAAGTTTTTTAAGTACAACAAAAAAGAAACAATTTTGGTTCTTGTTTAGCTTTTTGGGGGGGGTGTTTGGTATGGAGGTTTGAGGTTAGCTGATAGGGCCAACCGACGAATAAAAGTCACAATAATTATCAACAGAACCATTAATCCAAACGCCTTAGTTTTTTTTTTTTTTTTTTTAGTGATATTATTAGGAGGGGAGTTATTATTTATTTCTGTAAAATTTTGTGCAAATATATTAAGAATTTTTAACAATTTGGAGATATATGGAGTAAGTTACTCAAAACTCAGAGAAATGGTAACTGAGAACAAGTAATTAATGCTTTGCAACAGAAATGGAGTCAACTGGTGTAGGAAGCAAATCGAAGCCATGCACCAAGTTTTTCAGGTTCAAATCTTTACTCACCTAAATAAATATCTTAATTTTATATTTTGTCTCTAATGTTTTCATTCTAAGAATTTATTTAATTTACAATTCTGGATAATTAAAATTCTGCAACTGTTCTAATGAAATGGAAATTTAAGCTGTATCACAGGTGCAACATACCATTCATTTATCTAATCATTCTAACTGATAATAGAGATAAGGCCTTGTTATAAAAATTTGTGGGCTTGAGTTGATGTAAGGCAATTATGTCTAAGATCTATCAGTTTCTAAAACTGATAAAATTGTTCCTTGTAGTTCAACTAAACTCATTGAGTTTATGTAAATTATACGTGGCAATTTTATCAGAACTGTTACTGCTTTTGATTCAATTGATTAGTTGTTCTAAGGTAATTGAATCTACCAGTATATGGTGTAAATGAGGTATGTGGATTGTCAAGGATTTACAATGGTAACCCAATTTTAATTTTTACATCCAAACTATACTGAACATAATATGCAAATGGTATTATTCTTGTGTACGCTTTTAATTCATTTTTATCTTTAAAAGTCATGTTAATACCCTAACATCGTCTTTCTCATCATGTTTATTATGTTTCTTCTGATTTTGATGGAACTGGCTGGTTTATTACAACATCTAAGTGATTATGATATGTCTAGCTAAATTTCCTTTTGCAGTTAATTATTTACAAGCTCATATGCCTTTAATTCTTGATATCAGCTGTACACTTGTATCATTCTGCTGTTAGCTTTGTTTAATTTTTGCTGTTTCCTGACTGCTAGGTTACAGTTATAAAGAATGATTTTACCAGAAGACATTCTTTGCATCGCTGCATGAACTTTTTTATATATAATTTTATGTATTTATGAAGTATGATCTAACTGTCTTGTGTTGAATTGCAGTACTGCTGGATGTCCATTTGGTGAGGGCTGTCACTTCCTGCACCATGTTCCTGGTGGTTATAATGCTGTGGCTCAGATGATGAACCTAGCACCAGCTGCCCCATCAGCATCTAGAAACATGGGAGCACCACCTCCCACATCTAATGGATCTACTCCTGGTGTCAAAACCCGCATTTGCAATAAGTTTAATACTCCTGAAGGGTGTAAATTTGGTGACAAATGCCATTTTGCACATGGTGAGTGGGAACTTGGCAAGTCTATTACTCCTTCTCGTGATGATCCCCGTGCCATGGGACATGTTCCAGGTAGTTTGGGTGGTCGAATGGAGCCACCCCCAGCAGGCCCTGCTGCTAGCTTTGGTGTTTCAGCCACTGCCAAAATTAGTGTAGATGCTTCCCTTGCTGGAGCCATAATTGGCAAAGGTGGTGTGAACTCCAAGCAGATCTGTCGCCAAACTGGAGCAAAGCTTTCAATCCGAGATCATGAGTCAGATCCTAACCTCAGGAACATTGAGCTTGAAGGATCATTTGATCAGATTAATAAAGCCAGTGCAATGGTAAGAGAGCTAATTACTAGCCTTGGTTCAATGGGTGCTGCTGCTGCTGCAAAGACACCTGGTGTGCCAGGAGGCCCACGGCATCCAGGAAGCAACTACAAGACTAAGTTGTGTGAAAATTTTGGCAAGGGGAACTGCACTTTTGGGGATAGATGTCACTTTGCACATGGTGCTTCTGAACTGCGAAAGACAGGTCTCTGAGGGTCTCTAGTTCCTCTCAGTTTGTAGCTGGTGCTAAGGTGTGCAGTCTTGTACCTTTGAGCCTTGTTTTTTAATTTCGGCTGTGCATTGCTATTAAATAGATTTGTTAGTATCTGCGATTTCCTCCCTAGTTGAGTTTGGTTTCTCTCTATCTTCGCTTTAGTTTCTGGTTTATCTTGTATTCTGTAGGTTTAGATAATGTTCTTATTAACTGAAAATTGGTTATCTTCAAGTTTCTTCGTTTCCCTGGTAAAACTAAGATCATTTTCACATCAATGGTTTAAGAATTGTAGTTTTGGATTCAAAACCTCAATGAGCTATAGATTTAAGGAGAAGGTGATTGGTATTGGTTGATTGAATGACTGGATTTACAATATTCTTGAATTACCGTATTCTCCTTCTCTATAGGAATAATGCTGTAGAGGCCCTATTTGGTTGGGTTTGGTTGAGGAGAGCCGTGTGTTGAAAGTTGTTGGTTTGGTCCCACGTTCTTTAAGGATCCCAGGTTCTTTCAGGATCCTGTGATTCTTCTTCCTCTCAAAAAAAAGAAAGAAAGAAAGAAAGAAAGAAAGAAAGAAAAAACAAACAAACAAACAAAAGAAGAAAAAAATTCGGGAAAATAGTATTAGTTGTCACCCCCTTTTTGTTGGACTATAATTTCGGGAGAAGAATTAGAGACCAAACCAACTGCTGCTTCTGTTTTCCTGCTTCCTCGGATTCTTCCATAACCAAACAAGCTTATAGGGTCGGGAATATAGACTGAAATTGGGAAGAAATGTTATATGATATATATTAAATAAGTACGTATAAGATTTAAGTTTTAAGTTTGTAACGGTTTATGTCTGCTCAGAATGGAGGTAGATGATACCATAATATGATAAAACTGAAAAGTAATAGGCGTATGATGTATATATATATATATATATATTTTATAATAATAATGAATCAAGTCAAGTTAGAATTGAAAGTGTTGAGTTTAAATCAAGGTAAACCACATGGATGTATATAATCCAAAAGAGTAATGGTTATTGGAACTAAATTTTAAAATAAATTTATTTGAGTTTATATAAGACATCATAAATTTATCTTAAAATTTAGTTCTAAAAATTGGTCAATGACTATCATTATTCAATGCAAGATACATTGAAGTTCACCTCCCTTACAATAATTCGACAATCCAAAAAACAAAATGCAAAGCATATTATATGAAATTTTCATTAAAAAATATTAGTATTATAATATTAAAAATGAAAGTAGGATTTGAACCAATAATATGCTGGTACCAAAATCTGCACCAAATGACAATGTTGTCAAAATTCTTTAACTACTCCACCTTCCACAAATCTCTGCTATTTAATTTCTTGTACCACCTGTATAAGCACCAGTCCCGGAAACAGTGTACCCACCTGCACCACCAGCGTGCCTTGCCGCGGCGTTGTGCTCGCGTGCCTCCCGCTTGTTGAGCTCTGCCTCTTTAACCCTTGTTTCTTTCATTTCAGTCGCCATTCCCTTCTGCACCTCGTCTGAGGTCGCCATTTTCTCAACCTGACACCATTTCCCAATCCAAATTAAAAAATTGAAAAAGAGTTTTATCATTTAAATTATATTAAATTATAAAATAAAAAATTTTAAATAAGAGATAAATTTCTTAATATTAAAAATAAATTTATTTAAAAATTTTTATTTTATAAAAAAATAATATTTATTCACATTATTTTTTAAAAATTAAAAAAAACATTATTTTAAAATTATATTATTTTAATAAACACATTGAAAAAGATTAAAATATTTTTTATCATTTGTTTCTTAATTTTTAAAAAATAAAAAATATAAACACTAAACCATTTTCATTTTATAATTCGAATAGAATATGATTTAAACAGTAAAATAAGCCATTCTTAAGAAATTATAATGAAAATATCATACAAAGTCAACTTGCAAGATTAAAGAGAGAGAGGGGGAGTAGGGGACCTTTTCCTCGAGGGTGGCCTTGGTCTTCTCCAGGCCGGAAATGGCCGAGGCCCCGACGTTGGCTGCTTTCTCCTTCACCGCCTTCATTTTTCAATCCCCGCATTAACAAGAAAACCTCTTCAGTTTCGGGTTTAATAAACAGAGGAAGGCGTTTCGGTGCTGCCACGTGCATAGTATTTTACACGTGGCTGTTGAGGGAGATATTGCTCTGCTTTGTTTGACACATGTCCGCCACTTGTCAAGTAGGACAGTTTGGCAGTTTTTACAGTTATTTGACATCACATTTAGATTGACACGTGGCAGTTTCCCACATATTCTTGTGTACTTATTGAAGGGCGACAAAGCCAAGTAGTTAGGCACACAAAACTGAGCGTGATTAAGGGAAAGTAACTGAATACAGTTTTGAGTTTAGGTTTCTGACTAGGTTTAATTTAATAAATAGTTTATTAATTATCAGTTTTTTTATTTTAGTTTATAACTTTTATTTTTTTTCAAGATTATCTATTAATTTTCAAATTTGTATTGATTTTGTCTAGTTAACACTTTTAATTAATTGAACTAACAAATTTTAGATTTTTAATTGTGTGATACCACATAAATCATCAGGTAAGTTGCCACATGGTCTAAAAAACGAGAGAGAAAATTTTTTGGTTTCTTATTAGGCCACATGGCAACTTACATGGCAATTTATGTAGTGTCACACAATAAAAAATTTAGAATTTTATCAATTCAATTAAATAAATTTTGTTGAAGTAGATAAAATTAAAACAAATTTGAAAGTTAATAAATAATTTCGAAAGAAAATAATTTTCAATTAACTAAGTTAAAAAATTTTGAGATGAAAATTATGAAAATTGTAAAGTTAAGAAATCAAAATTGACATTTAACTTAAAATTTTTTTATAAAAAAAATATACTTTATACAAGATTCAAATGTCTAATGTGCTCGATCTTAAATCTAAAAGGAAAAAAAAATTAAGAGAAAGTTAGATTTGGGATATTAGACATTTAGGTTTGCAAAAAAAAAAAAAAAACTTTTAAAAGAATGATCTTTTTACTCTTTTGTCTTGTTTGCTGAGACTAGATACTTAGATTTATAATTTTTTTTTTTAAAAAAAAGAGAATTAGATTTGATATGTATAATATGTAAATTTGGTATAAAATTAAAAATCTTTTAAAGAAATGATTTTTTTTACTCTTTTGTCTCTTTTATAGAGATTAAATATTTGGATTTACAATTTCAAAAAAAAAAAAAAAGACAAGGAATTAGATTTGGCATGTATAACATGCAAATTTGGTAAAAATTTAAAAAACTTTTGAAGAAATAATTTCTTTGCCTTTTCGTCTCCTTCGTGGGACTGAATTTTAATGAATGTAATTGAAATTTAAGATAAACAATGATCCCTGTTGCTTTTGTGAAAGAGAAAGGAGAAGTAAACAAAAGCTTCAAAAAAAAAAAATAAAAAATAAGGCAAAGTAAACTAGATTTGTGTTTTGAAGACAATAGCAATTATTTATATCAATATTTTGATACAAATAGTAAAGAATTATTGACCTCTATTCCACTGAAAATATGTCTGAAGTATAGAGTACAATGAAATAGTATCATATCTATTTATAAATAGTAAGAAATTATTCATCTAGTTACTTTTTATCATTTATATATTTTTTTGAAATATTTACAATAATAGATTGGGTTTTGTCAAACTTTTGATCGATTTTTTATCTTAATTGTGTTAACAATGCTTATATTAATGGTTTTAATTGACATTCAAAAAATTTTCTGTGACTGACTTTTTTTACATGAATAATATTGAGGTAAAAAATATATATTTACGTCAATATTTCATGACTGACACTTAAAACATCGATGCTTTTATGACTACATTCTTGTAGTGACTGGTTACAAGACTGGCTATGCAGGGGACAACAGAGGCGGCTATGGTTATGGAACTGCAACGGATGCTGCTGCCTACCCATCAGGGCGTGATCTGTAGCAGATTATACAGCTGCGGGCTATGGAAGCAGGGCCCCAGCAGGGCATTACCCGGCAGGAACCTGGGGTACCGATGCTGATCATGTGGATAACGTTGCAGGCCGTGGAGGCAGCACTGGACGTGACACTCGTACCGGTGTCGATGCCGCAGGTGGCTATGGCACCAGCACCGTTGGCAACTATTGTTGAAATTGGGCTCTGTGTTCCCTTTTCAAATAAGGGCTCGTTTGTGTGTTTAGAGAAGTTTGGTGTGTACGTGGGAGTATCTTCCTGCTTTGTTGCAGTGGTGAGAATCGTTTTCTTGTCACTTATCACTGAATAAAAAGTGGGAATAATTAAGGAGAAAATTGTGTTATTAATTTAAATCTAATTTTTGTGATCACTACGTGATAACTATTCGAGGAAATTATTGAAGCTCAAAAAAAAATATATATATATATATATCTATATATATATATTGAATTAAGGTTAGAAGTGAATACCATTAATTCCTATGGTTTTAAGGTAAAATTATTTGCGTTTTAATTACATATTTAAGGTTCATTCATTAATTTATACATACAGAACAATAATTAAAAATGAATACCGACAAGCATCATTAACTTCTTTTTTAATGTAGTTAATTACCTAAATAATTTAATAATAATTTTTTTAGTAAAAAATAAAAGATTTTGAGTTTAATATACATAATATATAAGTAGAATAAGTTGTAAGATAAGTAAGAATTATCTCTTATTGTTCAATTTAAAATATAAAAAATAAAAGTAAAAACTTGCTTTTCAATACAAAATTATTCATTTCATAATTTAAATTTGAATCTAACATGTAAGGTATAAGCTAAAAATGTATTTATTGTATATTTTTATCAATAATTTTTATAAAAAATAATAAAAATAAATTTTATTTTCAATACCAATATTACATGAAATGACTTAATTATACTGTTAATAAATTTAAGCCAACTTAATTTTTTTATGAAATTAATGAAAAAAAATGCAATAAATGCACTCTCACAATGGTTAGAAAATTCCTTTAAATTTTAGATCAAAAATTTATGTTTTCGTTCCTGCAATATGTTATTACAATGTTTTCATACAATATAAATGTTTATAAGGTGCATAATATTAAATAAATAGATATTGATTGATATGTATTTTGATTTAACATATTACACAATATTTTTATTAAAAAATTATTATTATTTATTTAAAATTAAAAATAAATAAATTTAAAAATATAATTATATATACATAACATATTACACAATATTTTTATTAAAAAA